AATTTTACTTCCTTTCCAATAGAGATGCTTTTTACTTCCTTCCTTGTCTAATAGACTAGATTGGAATCTTTAGTACCATGTTAACACAAGTAGTGACAGCAGACATCCCATCTTGTTCCTGATCTCAGGGGGGAAAGTACTCAGTTTTTCATTTTCGTCATTCAGTATGATGTTTGCTCGCTGTGGGTTTGTCTTGGGTGCCTTTATCAGGCTGAGGAAGTCCCCTTCTATTCCTAGTTTATTGTTATTACTGTTTTGTTTTTATCATGAAAGGCCTTGGATTTTGGCAAATGATTTTTTTTCTGTCTTTTAAAATGGCTATGTGTTTTTTTTTATCTTTTGTTCCATTAATATGATGTTTTATATTGATTGCTTTTATATTCAACCAATTTTGCATCTCTGGAATAAAAAAAATAACTTGACCATGATATATAATCTTTTCTATTTTTCTGGATTCAATCTTCTCATTTGTTTAACAGTTTGTTTCTGTATTCATAAAGGATATTGGCCTATAGTTTACCTTTCATGTGATGTCTTTGTCCGGTTTTAGCATCAGAGTAGTACTGGCCTCATAGAGTGAGTTGGGAAGTGTCCCTTCTCTTCTATTTTTTGAGAATAATTTATGAATTATTTGTAATACAGTAGGGCCTTGACTTACGAGTTTAATTCATTCCGTGGTGGAGCTCGTAACTCAAATTACTCGTATGTCAAATCAAGAAGTGAACGAGTGATAGACGTGATGCTGGACTGATATTGTGGCATTCACTGTGACGTTCACTGCGCCAACTAGCAGTGGGGTATCTGAAGCTGGCTCGTAACCCGAATTTTAGCCCCCCAACTCAAAGCAAAAAATCGGCCAAGAGACGGCTCCTATCTCAAAAAACTCGTTAGTCGGGACACTCGTAAGTCAAGGCCCCACTGTATTTCTTCTTTAATCTTTTAGTAGAATTCTCCATTAAAGCCATCTGGGATTGGATTTTTCTTTGCTGGAAATCCACTCCAATTTCTACATGTTTCATGTCTATTCAGATTTTCCAATCCAATCTCTACATGTTTCAGGTCTATTCAGATTTTCTGTTTCTCCCTGAATCAGTATTGGTAACTTCTGTGTTCCTAAGAACTTGTACAATTAATCTAGGTTATCTAATTTATTGGCATACAATAGTCCCTAACCTTTATAATATTTAATTTCTATAAAGTCAATAGTAATGCCTCCTTTTTAATTCCTTATTTTAGTAATTTTCCTCCTCTCTCTTTTTATTCTTGGAATGTCTAATTAAAGGTTTGTCAATTTTGTTGATATTTTCAAATAACTTTATTTTTCTATCATTTTTCTATCCTTTCTTTCATTAATCTTGCTCTAATATTTGCACTCCTTGATTCATCTTTTTTTTTCTTCTCCCTAGGATACGAGTGGAACCATGAAATGGTGCGTATGGGTGACCAGGAGTGGTGCATTTATGAAGAAAGGTTTGTGGTCATGAGAGTTATTTGGTCATCAAACCGAATGAAAACTCTCCCAAAGCAAGAAAAGTTAGATGTAGTATTATTTTAAATTACTGAGGATTTAAGTGTCCCATATTTATTGAGAATGAACCAGATTCTATGGTAGTGAATTAAATGGTTGAAATTCACAAGTAGAGCCAGTAAGGATAATAGGGATAAAGGACTTCACTATCGGACTCTTATTACTACATTCAACTCATTCTCTGTCCTTGCTCTGGTTCCTGTATTTCATAGATGCTTGTCTTTATCATATGCAGGCCTTATCGAGCTCTGAAATAGGTTATGGAGCAGCACCTTTATATTTACTTTGCTTAACAGGAATAAAGGAGACCAGGCCATTCTACAAGGTTCTCTTTCGAATTCCAAAAACAGACCTTAGCCTTGTGGTTTGTGGCTTTGACCTTTGTGCCAATAATTAATGTCTCTTATCCACACACTTTAAAAGCTTAAATAGGAAAGTGTAGCCTTTGTGTCTGAAGGTGCCAATTCATCTGGCAGCTTCAAGTTCTTTACAAATACATGAGAGTTTAACCATTTTTGCCCAGTAGACAACTTTTCCTTTGCCAAGTGTTTTAACTTTTCCCAAAATACCTGAAATCTCAATATTATTTGTGGCCACACCACTGGAGTTCAGGCTTTAGACTAGGGCACAGGCTCCAAGGCTTTCCAAAAGAAGACCTGTATCCCATTCAGGATCTGCAGCCTCACCCCTGATCTGCCTGGAACCCACATCTGGGGCCCTTTTATGGGAGACTCATTGTGATGTGGAAAATGACAAATATTATATACCATTTTAGAGGTAGCAAAGGCTTTTCTTATACATTATTTCATCTAATTCCTATTCTTCCCATAAGGTATCAAGGGCATATAATATATGTATTATATTTTTTAGAAGAAGAAACTCTTACTTTAAGGCAGCAGTTCTCAACCTGTGGGTTGTGACCTCTTTAGCGGTCGAACAATCCTTTCACAGGGGTCTCCTAAGACCATCCTGCATATCAGATATTTACATTACAATTCATAATAATAACAACATTACAGTTATGAAGTAGCAACGAAAATAATTTTATGGTTGGGTCACAACATGAGGAACTGTATTTAAAGGGCCAGAAGGTTGAGAATCACTGCTTTAAGGTGAAGACCTTCCCAAGGTCAAACAGAGGGTAACTGGGAAAGCAGACATGAGCACATTTTTTCTGGCTCTAGAAGTAGGAGACTTCCTTCTCCCCTCCTCAGGCTTCTCAGAGAAGCAGGTTCAAGTGCATTAATGGCATGAAAGGAGAGAAAGAAAGTGGTATTAGAAGAACAAAAAGATATAAGATGTAGGATCAACATTTTTTTTTTGTCATCCCGAGGAGCGAGGTGTGGACATTGAAGAAGCCAAAAACTATTTCCAAAAAACTGAAGCATGGATTCCATGCTCCAGATCTGAGTGGAATGCTGCACATGTTTAAAGGTGAGGAGAGCCAGGGCAGGAGTGTGGATGTAGGATGTTTATAGTGTCAGGGACTAAACTGGGGTGTGGGTCGGGGGCTGGTATAGTCTCACATGAGAATAAAAAGGAGGGTGTTCAGAGAAGGGATGTTGCTGATGGAGATGTGGTTAAGGGAGAATGGCTAGATTCTGGTTCATTCTCTTAGCCTCACAGTCTTCTCCCCTTCCCCTACTCTAGAGACAAGCTATCAGTGTTTAATCATTTGCTTCTAATCAACATTATTAAATCTTTTATCTTTTCAGAGCTTACAAATGTCCAGCGCTACTGGGGTAAGAAGTTACTGGGTCTTCAAATCACTGTGTTCTGATCCCCTTTCAGAAGTTTGTGGTTTCAATGAGATCTGATGATCTTAGCCCTAGGTGTTTCCCTCACTTCCCAATATGTATGTATAATACACTAATGGGCTGGTGCACGAAATTCATGCATGGGGGGGGGCGTTTCCCTCAGCCCAGCCTGGACCCTCTCCAATGGGGTATCCCTTGGGGGATGTCCGACTGCCAGTTTAGGCTCGATCACTCTCACAATCTGGGACCACTGGCTCCTAACCGTTCACCTGCCTGCCTGCCTGATCACCTTTAACTTCCTCTGCCTGCCTGATATCGCCCCCAACTGCCCGCCCCTGCTGGCCAATTTGGTTCTGATTGGTCAGTTTCTATGCCAGTCAGTGTCAAAAGCTCCACCTCCTAGGCAGCCATTGGTTCCTCAGACTTCATCCAGATTTGGTTCTGATTGGTCAGTTTATATGCCAGTCAGCGTCTCTGAGCCTATCAATGGGGCCTGATCAGAAAGGTGGGGCTGAGCAGCAGCCCTGGTGGAGGCTTGGAGAGAAATGGAGGCAAGGCTGCTGGACAGACTAGGAGAGAAAGAGAGGCAAGTGCTGATCATAAGCTGCCACATAGGCAATGGATCAGTCCCTGCTTCACTCTTCAGGCCTCTCTCTGTCCCTGATTCACAGCCCCCTCAGCAGGCAGTACTGGGGCACCATGCCTGCAGCAGACTGCAGGACTGACTTCCGGTTGGTCGAGCCTCAGTCATTACTGGTCGTTACGACCCAGGGTTTTTATATATTAGGATTACTCCAGAGCTTTACCCCACTTGTCCAATCATCAATACAAGTTCTTCCTAGTCACCTTCCAAGTTCCCTCTACAAGTCATCAGATAAACCAACACCTGTATCTGTAACTAATCATCTTTTTTTTTTTTTCTCTGCAGTGGACATGACATTTAACCCATTCAACTTAAATTTGAATCTCAACCTTTCAGAGGATCACAGACAGTTGGCATCTGTGCCAATTTGGCCTATAAAGTATTATAATTATGGTGTCTTAGGCTCCCAATATTTCTCATCAGGAAAACACTACTGGGAAATAGATGTGTCCAAGAAGACTGCTTGGATCCTGGGGGTATACTGTAGAAAACGTTCCTGTAATAAAAAATTTAGACGAGGCACAAATTATCCAAATGCTTACTCCAGATTCAGACCTGAAAATGGCTACTGGGTTGTAAGGTTACAGAATGAATCTGAGTACAATGCCTTTGAGGACTCTTCTACCTCTGATCCCAAGGTCTTGACTCTTTCCATGGCTGTTCCTCCCCGCCGAGTTGGCATTTTCCTAGACTATGAAGCAAGCACTGTCTCATTTTTTAATGTCACAAACCATGGGTCACTCATCTACAAATTCTCTAAATGTCACTTTTCTCAGGTTGTTTATCCCTATTTCAATCCTTGGAACTGCCCAGCTCCCATGACTCTGTGCCCACCGAGCTCCTGAACATTCTCCCTCCCTCACTCACTTCTGTGTAGCGACCCTTGTCCTGGGGCTCGTCTCCTTCACCTGAGCTGATCTCTACGTTCAAACCTTCTCTTCCTTGTTGTCTCTCTTCTTTAGAACATTTAGCCATTCTTGGGATTTGCAACTCTTTCTGGATTAAGTTAGAAGAGAATCTTATTTACCCAGTTACCCTTTTCTGTATTCTCAGTGACAGACATCGAATCCCTCTTAAAGACAGAGCAATATTTGTGTAACATCTCTGCCCTGATATTTCTCCATATTTTCCTTTATCACTGATTTTGAGAGGTATGGCAAAACCTGTCTAAAACCACGCATGACCTAGGATAATCCATAATCTCCCCACCCACCAAAAACTAAGGAGTATATGAGTGCATGCCTGTTTGTTGCACAGCATACAGCAGTGTCATCAGACAGTTGAGAAAAAAAAAATGTTATATATGTACCCAGAGTACAAAATTTATGTTCAGAGTGTTTGATTTTAAATATCTTCTCTTACATGGTGTGTAATAATGAATACATTTTTGTTTCTTTTTATAAAATACAAATTGTAATTTTTAAACTGTACCCAACTCTTAAGATTGTTGTATGAAACTGTCATTCAATGTAAAGTACCTATTTAGGGTCCTGCACGATATAATAAATATTTCTCTCCTGATCACAGAAATGTATAAGCTGTGTTAGTGTCCTGTGCAATGGATGTGTGCCCTTCAGAGGAGTAGAAAATAGAAAATGATCCTACCCCTCGTTTGGATCATGCTGGAGTCATAAAACAGGGGTAGATATTAAATGAGATCTACGCTGATACAATATCTATCTCTGATCTTGCTGTTCATCAGAACCTGATCTGGACCACAGTCTCTGTGGCCAGTTCTAACTGCATGTGGCCTCTGGGCTGTTTTCAGTATCTGGACCACTAGCTGGAATACACTTGTGTTCTCCTTCAGTCTCATTTCTTATCAGTCTCCCTTCATGTATGATGAACATGGCATTAGTAGACAGTGTTAACGGGTCTAAATTCATCTCCATGCAACCTTTATGTTTTATTATTGCTGTATTTTGCTAGTTGTGCTATGGCTTAAGTCTTTGTTATTACTTTGATATTTCTTACAGATTATTGAGGACATGTCCATAATTTTCAAATTGGATAATTTCTATTAATCTACTTTTAATTTTAGTTAGTCTTTATGTTGTGATTCCAAATATTTTATAAGCCAAACCTGGATTTGTTTTCTGACTGATTGTAGTTTTAGTATTTGAATTAAAAACAAAAACTATTTCTATTTGATTTCTGACAATTTGGTGATGATTATAAGTATATTTTCTTCTACATCTTTCACCCCAGAAATAATAGCTGCTATGAAGTCCTTGTTTACTAAATACAACATCTGGCTTATTTCAGAGTTGGACTCCATTGATCGCCTTTTCTATTGAATATGGGCCATGTCCTTTACTTTTTTGTATGTTGAATAATTTTAGGTTGCATCTAAAACTCCCTCAGGGAAATTGTGAAAGAGATATAGCGACTCAGGATTCTGTTTCATTTTCTAAAGAATATGTTTGTTTGTTTGTTTATTGAGTTTCAGTATGTTAACTTGATTGAACTCAGATTCTAAATTCTCCACTGCATTTTTTGCAGGAGCTAAAATGAGGGATCAGTCCCATTAACCCTAATTGGGCTGCTTGTCATCTATCTCCAGTATGTCTAGTTCAGAGATTTGACCAGAGTTCTTATGTACAACTTGGGATTTCTCCCTCTGGATCTCTCTTTTGAAGATGTTCTTCTGACACTTTCTAGCTGCTGCAAAAACCTCAAATTGTTCTTGGTCTTCCAACCATGAGACTGTATGTTGCTGTCAATTGAGGTCTACCTTCAAAAAAGGATCATAAAAATAGCAAAAACCTCCAATACTCTTCCCTTCTTCCAAGTGTCTAGTATACTGTGGATTGTGACTGCCTTTTTCACTCTGTGCTTTCATGTTATTCTCTCTCTCTCTCTCTCTCTCTCTCTCTCTCTTTCTCTGTCACATAAAAAATAGATGTTAAAAATTGTCAAAGGAGAATCATAAATCCTATGTAATAAAATAATAATATGCAAATTGACCATCATTCCAAGATACAAATGGACACCCCCATGTGGTCAAAATGGCCTGCAGGGGAGGGCAGTTGTGGGTGATCAATCCTGCAGGGGAGGGAAGTTAGGGGTGACCAGGCTTGCAGAGAAGGGCAGTTGGGCGGAGACCAGGCCTGCAGGGGAGGGCAGTTAGGGGCGACCAGGATGGCAAAGGAGGGAAGTTAGGGGTGACCAGGCCTGCAGGGGAAAGCATTGGGGGGCAACCAAGCTAGCAGGGGAGGGCAGTTGGGGACAATCAGGCCAGCAGGGGAGCAGTTAGGCATTGATCAGGCTGGCAGGGGCGTGGTTAGGGGCAATAAGGCAGGCAGGCCAGGGAGCAGCTGGGAGCCAGCAGTCCTGGATTGTGAGAGGGATGTCCCAGATTAGAGAGGGTGCAGGCTGGGCTGAGGGACACACACACACACACAAACACACACACACGTGCATGAATTTCATGCACCTGGCCACTAGTATGTTAATAATGCAGGAGACTAGCTGAATTTCATTATGTGACACAGTAATAATGTTTGCAGTAAGAACGGTATAATAGACAACAAAATAGAAAAAGTACCTACCTGATTTCATAAAACTCACAGTTGTGGATGCAAGCTGGGGTGTGCATAAGAGTACTAATGAAAGTATAACTCTAGGCTACCACTGCAGTGTCCCTATTGCCTTGCACTTATGCATTTTCATTTTCTAATCAGGATATACTAAATGAGTTCTGACCTTTAGGCGGAATCCTTGTTCCAGAGATAACTTCCTGAAAAATCCTAGCAAAGAAAGCCCTAGAGGAGCCTATGGAGTGACCATGGGCCACAAGCCCAGGCTTTCAGACCAGTTTGCAGAGATCTGTAGAGAAAAGAGCTAAGCCCAGCACTGCTCAGGGAAGAGAGAGGTACTTTGGGAAAGAAAACAGGAAGTCACAGAGTTCTTTGAAGCTTCATTGTCCAACTCCTGTAAGTGTAATGATGTAGGATTTCGGCAGTCTATTCACATAAATCCCAGCATGCTGCCCTGCTCTGTAGCTTCTGTTATATTCACTAGTCCCACGAGATTTCCAAGTTTACACTCACAGCTCTACCATAATTCCTGAAAAATCATTAACCTTGCTCATCTTATTCTTGGGCCATCTCTGTCACCCAGAAACAAAGCTGAGAGATCAGGAGCAGGAGGAGCACATGGAAGTATTTCCATAAGGGACATGTTTACAACATTTCATACAGCATAATGAGAGGCTTGATTGGTGTTAATAATCTGAAAAAATACCAGCAGTGTCATGACAACATCTTAAGACCAATGAAAAAGTGAGTAAAGTGAGGGCATCTCTTCATTCATTTATTTAACTATCTCTCCTGTTAAAGACAGCTGCGCCCAGACTGACTGACTCAGTCACATCTCTCTGTCTCTTCTCTGGCTTCTCCTTTTCTTGCTTGCTTGTACTGAATTGAGGATGACTTTGGGCATTTTTACCTCTACAACATTCTCCTTGAACCCTTAACTGCCCTAAGCTATATTTAGGCACACATTTTGAAATTGCACTTTCACAAGAGATATTACCATTACCATGATCACATTTCACCTGTGCCATTTACATGTTTTAGAAATGTTTCATACTCTATTAGTCAGGGTTCTCCTGAGAAACAGAACCAATATTATAGATATATCCCTCATATACGTGAAAGTGACTGATTACTAGTAATTAGCTCACGTGATTACAGTGTTTGACTAGTTCATGCCCTGCGTTTTATAAACTGGAGACGCAGGAAAGCTGGTGGTATAGTTTAGTCCCAGTTCTACAGCTTGAGAACCAGGGTAATCAATGGTGTAAGTCCTACTGGTCTAAGGGCAGGAGAAAAACTATACCCTACACAAGCAGGTAGGCAGGAAGCAAAAGGAACACCTTCTCTCTTTCTTCCTCTGCCTCTTTGTTCTGTTTAGACCTTTATTTTAATTTATTGTGACCAAAGATCCAAATACTAATCTCATCTGGAAACAACACCCTCACAGACACACTCAGAAATAATGTTTAATCTGGGCAACAAGTGGACAGTCACGCTGACGCATAAAGTTATTCCTCACAATTACTTTCATGTTCATTTCTATTATAAGACTATAAAGATTATATGCTAAATGGTATTAGAAAACATTTCCGAAAAATGACACTTCATGTAGTTTGATCTGTGGGAAGAGGATGAGGGTGATGTGTGTGACAGTCACAGCTCAAGTCAGCCTAGTTCTCCAGAGGATGAATTACTGTGAGAGCCATGAGAACAGCTTCAGGGAGCAGAACTGAGATAGGATTAAGAATGTAGTCACTGGCCCCTCTGAGCTAAGGAACAAGGTTGCTATTTATCTGAGGTCCTTATGAAGGCCTCCCATTGGTCTACAGATCATCTCCTTTCTTGCTCCTCCCCTAAGAATTTAACTTTCATTTTCACTCTGTGTCTTTAAATCCCCTTTGTGGACATCAGGTCTCTGGTTTGGAGAGTGAATCCTGATCCTCACATAGCTGAAACTCCAGAACAAGTGAGTAGGCCTTTCTTCCCTGGAAGAATTGGGGTGAGTTTCATTCTGCTCTCTGAGCTGTGCTTGGGGGGTGCTAGTCTACCCAACACTGTTTTAGACCTTGGGGCAGGGAAATGCAGCCCCTCCCATCTCTGCCACTAGATCCTTGGGCTCAAGGAGCTCCCCTGTGAGGGCTGCCCTGGCCCAATGGCTGGGGCAGAGCCGTGGTGGCTGGCAGAGGCCACTCCAGTAGAATCACAAAAGTGAGGCAGGGATGATAACCCTGTGAGAGGATGGGGGCCTGGAATTCCCCAGTCAGCTTTGGCAATTGGGGCTGCAGCATGGGGATAGGGCTGATGCACCCAGGAGCTTTGACCAGTGTAGTGGTTCTCAACCTTCTGGCCCTTTAAATACAGTTCCTCATGTTGTGACTCCCAACCATAAAATTATTTTCGTTGCTACTTCATAATTGTAATTTTGCTACTGTTATGTATCGTAATGTAAATATCTGATATGCAGGATGGTCTTAGGCAACCCCTGTGAAAGGGTCGTTCGACCTCCAAAGGGCTCGCGACCCACATGTTGAGAATCACTGGGTTAAAGGGAGATGCAGCCCTGCTCTCATAAGGTAGGGGGTGGAGCATCAGTGTTGCCCCAGCCCCTGAGTCTCTGACTCAGGTGAGTCCAATAGGTTTCCACTCCTTCTCAGGAAAGGGATCTCCTTCACACATGGTCTAGGCACTTCTCAAATCTCTGCTTTTGCATGGGTCCTGGGAAAGTCCCATAAGACCATTATGTCCTCTGCAGGAGCCCTTTAAGAGAAGAATCTCCTGTGCCCTACACCACCAAAGTACTCCTGGGGATAATAAAAACTTGGTTGGTTTTTGAAGGCAGGACTCTGGTGCAGGTCTGCGGGGAGCCTGATGTGGATTACAAACCCCTAAGTCCTCAAGGTTGGGCTTCACATTTGTGATATCCTTCCAGTGCACACATCATTTACGTTCCCATATTTATCTCCCTGCCTGCTGTGGAGCCCTGATCACTGCTTAGGTAGTAGTGGGGTCAAACTCCATGTGTGAGGACTTAAGCTCCTCTGCACTTCCTCTTCTGTGTCCTGTGGCAGCAGCTGCTTTGACCTTAGCTCCTTGTAGCCTCACCATAAAAATAAATTCTGCAGCCTCAAGGCAGAATGCATGCTGTGCTCCTCCCTCCTTTCCAGGCTCCTGGTGGGTCTCAGGACGGGTTGGATCTTGGAGGAGATGCAAAATAATTGGAGGTTCCTACCCCCGGTTTGGATCGTGCTGGAGACATAAAACAGGGGTAGGTATTAAATGATATCTACGCTGATACAATATCTATATCTGATCTTGCTGTTCATCAGAGCCTGATCTGGACCACAGTCTCTGCAGCCAGTGTGACCTCTGGGCTGTTATCAGTATCTGGACCACTAGCTGGAATACACTTGTGTTCTCCTTCAGTCTTATTCCTTATCAGGTTTCTTTCATGTATGATGAACATGACACTAATAGAGAGTGTTAGCGGGTCTGAATTCCTCTCCATGCAAACTTTCTATTTTATTATTGCTGTATTTTATTAGTTGTGCTGTGGC